GGCATTTAGAAGACAAACTTTTTCTCACTTGCCGAACATATTCGATCCCTGTACCTACGATTAAAGGATGAAACTCATTGGACTTTACTTCATACTGTATCTACAAGTCCACCTGCAGTTGCGAGGACACCTATATAGGTAGAACCAATGGAATGTCCCAATGTTGTCGAAAAGAACATGTTCCAAAATGGCTACAAAATCATATAGAAAATCCCAATGCGATTAATCTGAATAGAAATCCAGCATCATACATTGCAAAACACTTATTAATGTCATGTCACAAAATCAATATTAATGACTGTTTTACAATTATTTCACATAACTCTAATTCAAGGTTGGTCATAAAAGGTGTCACAGAAGCACTTTGGATTAATCACATGCATCCTAAACTATGTGTACAAAAAGCAATAGACTTCAACCTCCGCCTACCATGGACTACTTGACCTATCTAAATATGATTGGTCATTAGTATGTACTTTTGTTTTTATATGACTGAGTAGTCGTCATGCCCGTTATTTTATTATTGTGACCTTGATATGATTATGAGCAATAAATTGTGCTCGAAACGTGGTGATCAGTAAACATTACCGTACATCACTGTGAGACTTTATCAAAACAAATTTTACCCAAAATGGAATTATACTCTACCACAGTGCACAAGTTTTATTCTTATATCAATTGTTAACCATGTTAGTTGTAAAATGGTTGTAAAGAAACTACGAAATGATATCATCTCGCGAAATTTGTCTTCTAAATGCCTTATTCAAACTAATGATTACTTTCGAATGAGGCACTCAGAAGACAAATTTCGCGAGATGATATCGTCATTTCGTAGTTTCTTTACAACCGCTTTACAACTAACATGGTTAACAATAATAAAATAAAGTTCATGACAATTACTCAGTTAAATAAAAACAAAAGTACATACTAATGACCAATCATATTTAAATCTTTAAATATTCCCATTTAAAATATTAGAACAAGACATATAAGCGAACAATATTCTTTTCAATTAGATCTTCTTCAGGCTTTACTCTAATTTACATAGATTTTATATATAAAATTTTAACCAATGACGGTGATTTTGGGAATCAAATAATAATATTAATAGTCTTAATAATAATAATAATAATGTGGTAAATGTTTTGAACGTAGTTAATAACAATGATTATAATGATAACAAAATATTGATAATAAGGTTTATGCAGGTGATAAGAATAACAAAGATAGTATATGTATATAAGTGTATAAATAAATTGGGTCAAATCTTAAAAGGTGAAGTGGAACGATAATCAGAGTTTAAATAAATATTATAAACTCTGATTATCGTTCCACTTCACCTTTTAAGATTTGACCCAATTTATTTATACACTTATATACATATACTATCTTTGTTATTCTTATCACCTGCATAAACCTTATTATCAATATTTTGTTATCATTATAATCATCGTTATTAACTATGTTCAAAACATTTACCACATTATTATTATTATTATTATTAAGACTATTAATATTATTATTTGATTCCCAAAATCACCGTCATTGGTTAAAATTTTATATACCAATCATATTTAGATAGGTCAAGTAGTCCATGGTAGGCGGAGGTTGAAGTCTATTGCTTTTTGTACACATAGTTTAGGATGCATGTGATTAATCCAAAGTGCTTCCGTGACACCTTTTATGACCAACCTTGAATTAGAGTTATGTGAAATAATTGTGAAACAGTCATTAATATTGATTTTGTGACCTGACATTAATAAGTGCTTTGCAATGGATGATGATGGATTTCTATTCAGATTAATTGCATTGGGATTTTCTATGTTTTAATAACCATTTTGGAACATGTTCTTTTCGACGACATTGAAACATTCTATTGGTTCTACCTATATAGGTATATAAGTAATCATTGACTTACGATGAGAAATGTTGTCGAAAATAGACTAGCAGCACCTGAAGAAAGTTACTTTGTGGAACTCGTTGAGACAACATGTGATTTGGAAATACACGATTCACTTTTAGAACTTTAGTCAAACATACTATCCGTGAAATATTCGAATATCCTGTGAATTTTAACTGGGTAGACAGATTAATCACTGAGGAGACAGAAATGGGATAATGTTACAGTAATCAGAATTTGTCAAGATTTTTAAGTGGCATTTAGTTAGTCTTAACTATTTAATGATGACATAGTGACATCCTTTTTGCGTCAGCTACTTATTATGTTCTGGTATTTAAAAATGTTCTGACGAGTTGATCGCGGATTGATATCAGCTAGAGAACTATTGAAAACCAGGGAGTACTGGACAGCTGTTTCATCCTAGTTTTGGGAATCATCGGCAGTACGCACCCAATGGGGTTTGAACCCAAGAGCTTCCACAAGTACTTTTCGAAAAGTTGGAGTTATCAATTTATTTCTGAATGAATTGAATTGAAATAATACTTGAAACGAAATACGCCAAACTCTTTCATTTCATATACTGTGTGATTATTAAAAGTAAGACGAAAATCTAGTTTGCAGCAAGATTCAAACCAGCAGACTACTTTTAGCATTCCTTTGAGTTAAGAGTGGAGCATAGAGACTCAACAGAACGCTTATATTTCACATTGTTCTTTGCAGTTCTCTTTATCTGGTTTCACAGTTCCCCATAAGATTTTATTTCCTCCCCACACGACCACCATCATGTCACCTAAGTCGCCGAAACCATCACTCGCTTCCCATTTCCGATTCCACCTGAAGGCCCAGCACGCGCTATCACTCGACGGTCTCCTCCGTATTCTCTGTGGTCACCTGAAGTTCTGTCTTCTCTGCTCATCTCTTCTGCCAAACTGCTGGTTCTCGCATGTAAGTCTGCGAGTTTATACAACATTAGATACAGATTGTCTGCGAAGCCCCAACCTTCTAGATTCTCCTTATCTGTGGTCCAACGTATTCCTGTCTTCTCACTCTCCACAGTTAGATGCATAATCCAGTCAACCAAAGTTAAGAATATCACCGGTAATAATAGGCAGCCAACCAGCCTTGTCTTACTCCTGTATTCACTTCGAACGCCTCGCTGAGTTTTCCATTGTGGACCACCTGGCACGTACCATTGTCACATAGCTGTTCAATGAGGTTGATAAAGATTTAGGGCTCTCCTCAGTGTCGAAGCAGTTTCATATTACTTCCTGGTCCACTATGTCGAAGGTCTTTTAAAGTCAATGAAGTTAAGGTAGATGTTTGACTGCCATTCTATGCTCCGTTCACCGACAATGAGTAGAGTTATAATTTGATCAGCACATGATTTGCTTTTCCTGAATCAGGCTTGTTTCAGATGGTGAAGTTCTGTATCCAATGCCTCGTTTATCCCCTCCAGGATGATGCGAATTAGTATTTTACTTGGTGTGGACGAGATCATTATTCCACGCCAGTTCTTGCAGAAGCCTAAGCCACCCTTCTTTGGCAGTTTGACAACGTAGCCTTTCTTCTAATCAGTACCACTACTCCCTTCCAATAGCGGTGACAGCATATCCTCTGTGGTCTACGAGTCCATTTTCAGTCACTCAGGAAGAATTTTGTTACGTCCTGCTGCGTTCCCGGCTGGCCTTCAGTAGCTTGATCGCATTCAAGATTTCTGATTTCGTTGAAGGATTGGTGTCCACTGACAGGCAGTTCTGTGCGTGCTGTTGGTGATATTCCTGGATTATTTGCAGGTGACTGTCGATTCAAGAGTCCTTTGAAGTGATCAGCCCATTGTTTTATATGTCTCTCCTCCTTCGTAATCAGGTCCCTTCCCGGATAGAGACCTGCTTACCTGATATAATGTTCTGAGGTCTCTTTTACCTGCGGCCTGCCTGTTCTACTTCAGTTACCGGCCAGTGTGTTGTAGAATTGTCTTTTGTCTTTCCTAGCACTCTTCTTCACTTCTTTATCCGGTGAGACGTACGTTGAACTCAGCCTCACCTTCTGTAGTCCATTTTTGCATTGGTCTATCTTCTGTTTTACCATCCTCCACTTCTATTAGCTTCCAGATGTCCGTATAGAGTCATTCCTTGTCTTGCCTATTCTTTCTTCCTAAAACGGCTATACACTTTCAGTGAGTTCTAGTGTTCTTCCACACAAGTTTCCTCAGTGGTGCTAAACCTACGCAGCCTACGGATTACTAATCCAAGATCATCCTAGATAGTTTCACCATTAATTTTATTTCAGTAAATCGTATAGATGTTATTTGATTGATAGTAGACAGATCCAGAAAGCGCATTTCTTTCGGTTTGGGTCTTGTCAGTTAGATGCTTCATTCTTCAGTGTAATGATGGACTCAATGAGACATGAACCCAGTATCATCCATTAAGCCACAGCCATGAAATTCACCGCTTGTGTTACTGGCATCACTTATTGTCTTTTATTTCCCGTTGATTACTTTATATTGGACGAAGATGCTTGATGACTGTCAGCATGTTGGCTTCTAGTAAGGTAGAATCAATAATGTCTGAAGGTTGATATAATGTTACCTGAATGATGTTGGCTAATAGCGTAATCCAAGATGTGCACTTCGTCCAACTTGGGACTCATCAGAAAGGAAATACTTGCAATGATGCTAACCACCAGATATTGTCAACGCATCCCTACTAGGAGCAAATACGTCAACAGAGCCGGGGTATTTCGATTCACTGACAATCAATCAACGGCAAATGTATCATAAGTTTGACAAATAAAGGCGTCGGTGGCACAGTGGTTAGGACGCTCGCCAACCATTCACATGGTGCGGGGTTCGATTCCCGGCCGACGCACTCCTTTACCTCGCTAAGCCAGTAATAATGCTGGTAAAGAGGAAAGGTTGGGTATGAGGCTAGCAACCTCATCATGTAAAAATAAACACTACTGCAGAAACTTCATGCCTGTAGCTTCAAGCCCTATGTTCCACTGGGAACGTAAAGGATCGATCTTGACAAATAAAATCTTATAAAGACTAATGTATTGACACTTCCAAACTCTTCTCTTTTCTTTTTTTCTCTCTAAGGTTCTCATTTTATCCTATTCAAAAACTCTTCTCACATATAAATCAAATTTTATGAGTGCAGCTCAATTCAGGTTCAAACAATCAACACCTATACGTACAAATGATACTATGCAACCATTAGATGAAGAAGCTGGGATTAATTATCAAATTGATAGAATTAGAAGCTATCGAAGTAATGTAAATAATTCAAGAATATTATTAAATGAAGTGGAGAAAATTAATCAAAGAATTAGAATGTTATTTAAAAATTTGCTAAAAGAAACAGCAGATTATTTAATAATATCTAATTGTTATTAATAGATTGTATAATTTGAAAGAGGGTACAAAATATATTTTTATTGTCTTTTTAATAAAACAGAAGTATATATAAATACATGTATTATTATATTATTATTGTTTCCTTTAATTCCTAGAGGAACATAGGGCTTCAGCCGTGCGTCTCCATTGCGTTCGGTCCTCTGCTAGAGTCTTCACCTGGCTCCATGTCTGCCCACACGTTTTCATCTCCTCTTCACATGACCTCCTCCAAGTCACCCTTGCACTGACGACCAACTCGCTGCTTCCCTTTCGGGTTCCACTCGAGCAATGGCTTGTCTAGTGATGTCACTTGATTGTTTGTTTTCTCAGAGTATGGCCAATCCATCTCCATTTCTTCCTGCCTATTTGCTTCATATATATACATGAGTCTGTTATTTATTCATACGTGTACTTCTGAGTTAACTTTAATGGAAGTGTAGTCAGTGATCAGCCACTTTTCTCCCTATAAACGCCTGAAATAGATGTCTTATTTTTCTATTTGAGAATTGTTAGATGTGTGCCTAATGTTTACCTTTTCAAACAATGTAGTGCAATCCACTAAGCTGGTAAGCTATGAACAACGTCTGCTGTATCATATGAGATTAACAGACAAGCAAAAAATCCTTACAACTACACCAGATATTGAGAATTATCAAAATTAGTCTTGTTATCGTCGATATAGGTTAATGTCTACTTAGCCATTTTTGTACAGTGACGAAGATGTAGGTTAGTAAAATAAGGGAGGGTAGTGTATTCCAAAATTGTTTACCCTAGAAAGCTCTCTATTACTCAGTAGTCAGTGAAATCTTAAGGGAACCTTTTAACTCTTCGCTAAATTCACATCAAACATTTAGGAAGATGGGAGGGAAAAGGGGATAAATAGTAGGCCTCGAACCAGTAGTTGAGCGATACAGACGAAAGGATGGGATCTTAGTGAAATCTCCTTTGGGTCCATTAACAGCAGGCTATTTCATGCCAAACATTGAAAATGGTCCATTAACATCCACTACTACTAATTTTTCCACATAAGTGTTATTATTATTTTTTCTATTGTTGGTTTGTAAGGATTAGTTTTGTTTTTACGAGTTGATCACGGATTGATATCAGTTAGAGAACCATTGAAAAACCAGCACTGGAGTACTGGACAGCTGTTTCATCCTACTAGTTTGGGAATCATCGGCAGTACGCACTCACCACCAGGGTTCGAACCCAGGCTTACGGTTACAAGGCAAGCTGACTCGTATACCATTCGACCACTGGGACCCGATTCAATGGCTCGAGTTCTAGCTCCTACCAAACATTGGTTGGGGTCGCGCTAAATCACGAATTGGTAGAAGTTAGAACTCATGAACCATTGAATCTGGTCCTAGTGACTGAATGGTATACGAGCTTGTCTGCTTGCTTGTAACGGGAAGGTCCTGGGTTCGAACCCCAGTAGGTGTATACTGCCAATGATTCCCAAAACTAGGATGAAACAGCTGTCCAATACTCCCTGGTTCTCAATTATTATTATTATTATTCCCTTCGGTTCTAATTGGAACGTACGATCTCAACATCACATCTCCACTTTGTCCTATTCTCTGCGGTCCTCTTCAGCCGATCCCACGATTGCCCATAGTCTCATCTCCTCCTCGCACGATCTCCTCCAGATCACCCTCGGACACACGTCCAGCTCGTTGTTTCCCATTCGGGTTTCACTCAAGGGTATTGGGTGAGATGTCACCCAATGGTCTCCTCAGCGCATGTACAATTCATCTCCATTTTCTTCGAAATATTTGTTGGGCGAAAGGATCTTGGTTGGTTCGATCCCAGAGTTTCCTGTCACAAATTCTTTCTGGATTGCCATTTGATCTTCAGTATGGAGCCAGCTAAGGCAGCTACTGACAAAAGTCTGCAGTTGGCTGTTGGAAATGCTTTTTGTGGCACGCGAGCCAAGTCTCTGAACCATATAGAAGAACTGACTGACTTAACGGTGTTGTTGGAAATCTGAATCTTGTTCTTTATTCTGAGTGCAGAAGATTTCCAAACTGATTTCATGGTGATGAAGGTCTGTCTTGCCTTTCTGATTCTGGTTCTGACATCCTCATCAGTGCAGACTGCCTTTAGTTGAAACGATGCTTCCTAGGTCAAATTTGGGCTACCGATATCACACGCTGAAAATTCCATACCTGTACCGAAAAATACGGTGTGGAATCAAGCTGTAATCAAAAATTTAAAAAATAAAAATGAAGGAAGTAATCTCTTTCAAATTTCTTCCAATAATAGTGATTAATGCTTGTTGTTGTTAATTGGTTATCTGCATCACCTCCTTCTTCTCTATGTTCACCTGAGGTCTTTTCTTCGCTCCTTGCCTCTTCTGCTAACTTCTTGGTTCTCGCCTGTAAGTCGTCGAGTTTGTTGGTCATTAAACATAAATCGTCCACAAAATCCAGATCTTGTAGAGTCTCCTTATCTGTCCAACGTATTCTTGTTTTCCGGCTCCCCGCAGTCTGTTGCGTAATCTAGTCCACTACAATCAACAATACCATCGGTAATAGTAGGTAGCTTTGTCTTACTCCCGTCTTCATTTCAAAGGCATTTCTGATTTTTTTTCGTTGTGGATCACCTGGCACGTGGCATTATCATATAGCTGTTGAATGAGGTTGAAGTAATAGCCAGTGTCATAAGCGAATATATCCCCTCAAATCCACCCTGATAGACCCCACTGATCAGGACTTCTTACATTGGCTAGTGAAAGTGCTAAAAGTCGCAGATTGACAGAAGTTACAATTCATAGTGCAAAGGATTCCAAGTGGCTGAATAGTCAACCAGCTTGACCTCATAACCTGAGTTTAGTGGGTTCGATCCCTGGCAGGGTCGTTATAGACGAAGACTATCAAACTAGGATGAGACAGCTGCCTTGAAACGTAATCATAAGTTGAGATAAGTCTTGATATGAAGAGAATGCCAGATGCAAGGATGAAATGACGCCACTTATATCTCTTGCTACTGATTTTAAAAGATTACTTAGTTTCCATTGCACAACACTTTCGTTTCAAACAAACCACATGCTTATAAGAAAAGAAGTGATGCTTGCGTAATAGGTGCATTCCAATGCTCTTTTTTTGTCTCAGGGACAAGAACTGAAAAATAAGTTTGGATGATAATGAGTAGACTTTTGAGACAGAAGAAAGAAACTTATTAGGCAGTATGTCGAAGTTTACACATTTAATATCAGTTCATATGATGTCTTAAAGTTAAGCTTTGTCGCTGCCCTTCTCCCCCCCCCCCAAGTTGACTAACAAGTCTCACCAAAAAGAGCTCAAGTCATTAAATAATTTGTTTTCTTCAAAATGATACATATGATTGAATTGAAATCAAGTCAGGCAGTGTCACCTTGTACAGACAAAAAAAACAGCTCACAAATAATTTCAAAAAGAAGAATAATATTCTCAACATTTGGAATGTCTCCAAAATGTAAAGTCTGTTGATCTTTCTTTTTCTCATTTTGAAAAAGGAAAGAGTTTAATAAGACAGAAGGGGATGAAATTTATCATTCTTTATTTTTCAATAAATACTTTAAATGTCGTAATTTCTATTATTACTGAAAGAGTAGTTGATAAAATGAAATATAGTCAGTTTGTTATTTTAAATATGTTTATAAATTAAACCGAACTTATCCATTCATTATTAGACAATAAGAAGTTTAACTCTGATCCAGGCAAAGTGATTTTGAAAACAATAACTTGAAGTTATTGACACGATTGACCCTTTCATTGACGGCTTCAGAGGAAATGAAATACTGTGATGAACATCTAAGAGTTTAGAAGAAAAAGCATTCAAAAATATCAATAATAAGGTTTTATTGAACAATATTCAATGAAATAACTGAACATATTCTTAATTTTTTATTGGAAAAGTGAATAAGGCACTACTTTTTACACTATCTTTATCAATAAATAATAGATGAAGTATTTATGATTTACAAACATGCGACGTTAAGAACCTAGAAGACCTAGATTTCGCGGATGATTTATGTTTGATGTCACACAAAATAGAAGACTTACAAGCAAAAACCGACAAACTGGTCGAAGAAGCAGCAAAGACAGGACTCCAGGTGAACATATACAAGACAGAGGTCATGAAAATAACCAACAAACAACAACGACAGTAGCAACATCCAGCGCCAATCACCATCAACGGGAGGGATTTGAAAGAGGTCACTTCATTCACTTATCTAGGGAGCATTGTCTCAACTACAGCAGGTGGAACGGACGAGGATGTCAAATCGAGAATCGAGGAGGCGAGAAACACATTCATCAACCTGAAACCAATCTAGAAATCTTCGTCACTCAACTCACCATCAACAACAAAATTCGGATTTTCAATACAAACGTCAAGTCAGTCAGTTCTTCTATACGGATCAGAAACTTGGCGGGTCACAAAGAATATTTCCAACAGCCTGTTGCAGACCCTTATCAACAACTGTCTTCGTTCTATACTGAAGATCAGATGGCCGGCCGGAAAGAATCACCAACAAGAAACTATGGGAACAAACAAAACAAAACCAATCGCTCAACAAATATGCAGGAGAAAGTGGAGATGGATTGGACACTCGCTGAGGAGGCCACTGGGTGACATCGCGCGTCAGGCCAGTGCTCGAGTGGAACCTGAAAGGGAAGCGGCAAGTGGGACGTCCAAGGGTGACATGGAGGAGATCGTGTGAAGAGGAGCTGAAACAGTATGGATTAACATGGACGCAAGTGAAAAGTACAGCAGAAGACAGAAGCAAGTGGAGACGTGTAGTTGAAGTCCTATGTTCCACTAGGAACCCAAGGGAACAATAATAATAATACAAACATGCGACTAACTAAATGATAAGGAATTCAAAGTTTTGACAGTACTGTCAGACAAAGAGGTAAGATTGGAGGCCTTACGTAGAATTCTTAGTAAGTCTGGAATTAGGGTGGCATTTAAGCTAACCAACTGACTCAGGGATAAACTTTGTCAGTTTAAAGATAGGGATCAGTTAGATTATCAGAATATAATCAATTTATCTAGATCTGGATTGACTGATCCTCCTAAGTTAGGTAATCGAGAGAAAGGTCCAGTCAATGAGAGACATTCAATTGCATGTAATACAAAAGGGTGGCAGAGGTTAAAAGTACTTAGAAGTAATATAGGTGGCGAGAGAGATTAGTCACTGAATCTTCGTTCGTCGAATCGATCTCAAACACTTGCAATCAAAATGGTGCAACGTCTATACCGGATATATCGAAGATTGAATTAAAAACAGGAGGAGACAAAGTATATAAAGCAAGTTAAGAAGTCATATGAATACACTGAGATATGATTGTCAGTAATATATTGTGTTTGAAACAATGTCATCCAATCAGTAACAATTATTACTATATTTTATAACAAATGAACTTGTGGTGAGAGCTGTCTGCAAGCCAAAATTGTAGACAACAATTTACGTCAATGTTTACGTCCCGAATCGAGGTCATGAGAAAAAACAATAACAAAGCTTAACCTTGAGGAACTCACCAACCAATCACTGCACACTTAACGTGTGCAAATACGATTCACAGATATATGGCTTAACTTTCTGAGAAACGGTCACAAGCAGTACAGTATAACGTTAAGTTCTATGCTATCGAACTTCATATAATATTACGTACCGTTTTTATTTTATTCGATTTGTCTATTGATCTTGTAATTGCACACCCTTTTTCAAGTTCTATCCATCCCATGAATTATTCTATATATGACATTAATTTGCTTTGCCACTTGACATTTAACTACGATTATAATCACAAACACTTTAGTTTTAATTGCATTAATTTTTCATACTATTATTATTATTTTATGTATTCACAACTATGATTCAATTCCCTCACCGGATATAACTTCTTAAAAGAAAACCATATATATATGATTGTACAGCATGATGATAAATTCGTTGAAAAGAATCTCTTCGCTGAATCAATTGTTTTGATTTTCTGTATGTTACAATGGGGAATTTTCCACGATTTGGATTATAGGCCAAAGTTATGTGGTGTATCGTTTTTCACATGTTAAGGGAAACCCGAATCTCATAAGTTACTATCACCACCTATCATCTAGGGTGGTTTTATGGACTAAAACAAAATAATTTTTCAAAATATTTCAATAACCTGAACGAATTCAACAGTGGTTTCCTTTTTACAGACGAAAAGATTAACAGATAGATTTGTTTTTCCAGGAGCACACATGATCCAACTCAGAACTAATTGATTATATACAGATCACGTAACTTTTTAACCATACAACTTGAATCAGACCGCAAATATTTTGGAAATTCTTCCAGTTAGAAGATGAATACATGACCTAGTGATTACGTAAAAGATTTGGCATTCCAAAAGATATTTATATCGCTTTATGGACAGGATACTTTCACTCAACAATCTAATTCTCCATAGAACTGATGAAGAAACGTTATTTAATAATTAACCTAGAGCAATTTTATGTATGTAAAATACATATATTATTTATTATATATCAAATAAATTTATTCTTGCACATACAAGTCAATCCTTCTCTTCCGAAATTTCTGCATCTCAGTGAAATGCAAGAAACTGAAGCAGAACAATCTCATTCGACGATCAATTAAGACGTCTGGTTGCATTCATTATCGTTGGTACCTATATCTGACGAAGTATATTGTTAAATAATATAAACACGCGTATCTGACACTTCATTGAAAGCGATCAGAACATCGCAATGACGCATATATTTTACGGAATAAAAATGTTAAAAATAAGAAATTTGTAACCTTGAAATGAATTTAGTATACACAGAGCTATTCGACTAATTAAAACCTGTTCTCACTTTTATTATTTCTTCAGCATAAAAAGTGTCTGGTCTACTTAATATCTCATGTTGACTTTCAGGTATCAAACAGAACACTTGTTCTGAGTTAGGTGGTTGGAAGGAATTGTCAGGTAGCTATCGACATAAGTCTCATGATTATTGCTTGCACTTGTCACCAAAGTATGCCTACCACTTCGAAGATTTGGTTCTCAGCCACACATTTTACCGACGAGGTTAAACTTTACACAACTAAAACGTGTCAACATATCAATGAACATGGAACGTTCAGTCACAGCAAAGTTGTGAAACCAATTAAACAACACTGTATTCATGCAGAAGGGTTGAATGAAGTTCAGTGGTACTAAACAGAATATTTGGTTAGTTTTAGGTTAGTTTAGGGAAAGATTAAGCTTAGGTTTAGACTGGAGAAAGATTAGGGTTAGGTTGACCTAATTAGGGAGATATTAGATTTTCGTTAAGAATAGATTAGGGTTAGCTTACCCACAGATTAGGTCTAGGGTTGGGTTAGACTAGGGTTAGGTTAAGGAATTATTAGGGTTAGCTCTGAAGTGGCAGCCCGAATCCGCTTCTTAGCGCAATTTCTCATTCCAAGGTCCTTTATGTGCCTGTGCCTCTTGGGCGCCTAAAGTTGAACTTTGTTACGTTATCGCTGAGCTATTCGAAACATGATCAACCTCTTGTAGGACCGTATTGGATCCATTGATTAGCCGCTCTACAGTCGAAAATGTCATGTCTAGTTTTTAGTTGTCACAGAACTCTATCAGTCAAATTTATACTCTGTTCACTAAAGTGGATCACTCCCTATCACGGATACGCCACGGTGATGTATGGTGGCAGGCGAACATATAAGGTCTCCTGACAATCGCAATCAACAATCTAATGTCAGTTGAAAACGGACAACGATAACGAGTCAACTAACCTGGAGATAGCATTGCAAACTTTACGGGTAGAATTCAGTCTGCAATAAGAAACAGGCACATGAGATTGAGCCCGATCTACTTGTCTGACCTTTATTATTGAAGTCACAGTCACTGAGAAGTATTCTGTAGAATAAGTCGTTCTGCTAGTGTAATGTGTCTAGTCCTATCTTCGGTGAGATGAATTCTTCAGTCATGTTTGCAATGTGGCCACCATGCTAGGTGGCTCGCCATACGTGCACTGTGAATTGTTGGTATCAGATGGTTGGAGCAATCGGCCACAGGAAGCCTTGACCTAGGTTTCGTGCTAGTTGGCACTCATCAGCAAGGCGTATCTGCAACCTTGAAGGAATTATCCCTTCTAGATTCGAATTTAGTTGGGTTAGTAGGGCCCTTTAGCCTATGGAGCTTTCCCTGAGTGGGTTTTTAGACTTAAATGATACCCTACGTAGGGTTTCAAATGTCCCAATATGACGATAAATTGTGCTTGAATCACCTCAGCAAATAACACTGAGTCACTGCGATTTATTTATAAAGTAAAATTATTCTATGATGTAATCATGCTCTGCTAAAATGCCCGGATTCTATTCTTATATCTGCAAGTTTATGGAATTGTCATTTAGAAAATTTAATAATTTTAAAGTGACCTTCTTTGTGCACTATATACAATGTCAAGTGTTTTAGATGTTTCTTAAATGTATAACAGGAACATTAAAACCATGATAATGCTAGAGTGGACCGACTTGATAACTTTACAATTACACGCATGATCACGAGTTGATATTATTTACAGAACCATTAGAAAGCCTTGGAGTGCTGGACACCTGCTTCGTCCTAGTTTGAGACTCTTCATAGTCCATGACCTTCCGGTTACAGGGCAAGCTCATAGACCATTCAGCCACTAGGACCCTATCCGATGGCCCATGAATACCAACTTCTGCTAATTCGTGATGCATATAGTGCAGCAGCCAACCTGACTTGGAAGACCCCACTCAACAACTGGTGATCAAACCTGTAGCCAGCCAAATTCCTTCAAACCACCACTTGATAACTTTAAAGTTAAAAAAATGACTTATTTTAAATGCTAATAACATTATCAGTATGGTCATCAGAGAGTAAAATAACGGAGAAATAGAGTACTTACAAAAGATCGCAGCTGGTAGTCCCTGTTTATATTGAATAAACCATCTTCTGTAGCAACTTCAGTCAGGCCTTCACATTATTTCGAAAATTTGAAATGTTCTTTTTATGATACTGTCGTAAAACACAAGTATCATTGATAGATAGGACAATATTTTCTGTAGCTCTATACTTACAACCACCTTTACAAATAATTCTATGAATTCTTTTCTGATTTGGCCAAATTATATTTTCATGTGATAAACTTAATGAATGTTTTGGTCGTTTATGTGAACTTTTAACCGCATTCTCATCTTCTACATCATTAGTACTATGATGCAGTGTTGATGACAGTGTTGAATGTGATCGTTCATGTCGTCGACGTGGATATATCTTTGCTGATTTAATGATCATATTGTTAGCATGTTTTCCAATAGAAAGAGTGACTTTCAACTTTTGATTTTCATATGTAAATTTTGAGGTTTCTTCATCAAAATGGGATTGAATTTTAGGCTTCTTTTTATGTATTTCTTTATTTGTTTTATTATTCAATTCTGGGAAAAATGAAAGTGTCAGAGATCCTGGATGCCATGGAGATGAATTAGGCGATGATACATTCAATAAATCTAAATTTTATAATAGAGAATAAGGTAAAAGTGTACAGACAAATAAATGTATGTTGATATTTCCATTATGGTTATTACAGAACTCAATCTTAGTGAATGTGTTTTTTCGATAACTTCTCGTCAGGCTTTAAATTGAATAATAAGAATTTCATCATGAGCTGACATCGGTTAGAGAATCATTGGTGTGGTTGTGCTATATCGTGAATTGGCAGAAGTTGGAATTCATGGGCTGGCCACTGGATTGGGTCCCAGTGGCTTAATGGTTTACGAGACCAGAAGGTCCTGCATTCGAACTCCAGTGGGTGCATACTGGTGAAGAGTCTCACACTAGGATGAAACAACCGTCCAGTACTCCCTGTTGGTTTTCTAATGGCTCTCTAACTGATGTCAGCTCATGATGACTAACTAGTAACTAGTCAAATCCCTGCAAACCAACACTTGAATAAATAATAACATGTTAATAGGAGACATGTGAAACCAGTGTGATTAATAGAACTAAAGTTGTGGTGAGAGTTGTCTGCAAGCCAAAATTGTAGACAACAATTTACGTCAATGTTTACGTCCCGAATCGGGGTCATGAGAAAAAATAATAACAAAGCTTAACCTTGAGGAACTCAACAACTAATCACAGCAAACTTAATGTGTGCAAAGACGATTCTCAGATATATGGCTTAACTTTGTAAGAAACGGTCACAAACAGTACAGAATAACCTTCAGCAAGAAAACAACCAATCAGAAGACGTTGCTTCTCTGCACATAAAAATCTATAAATACCTACTGATCATCTCAGTAAACAATCTGTTGCCTGGCCCTTGTCTTCTGTCGTTACAATGTTAAGGCATTTGAATTAGTGGATAATAATCAATGAAAATAATAATAATAACAAGGATAAATTCACTCAGGTCTTTTTATAATATTGATAGTCAATCCTTGTGAAAGCATATATTCTTAGGGGCAGAACAAAAAAATGACAATTGACTCATAGTGATTAAATAGTACAGTGTTTGGTTTTTACCAGAAATTGTGAAACTGAGATCAGAGTATGCTTTTATAACATAGTATATTAATGATAATATAAATATAACAAGACAAATAAACATAATATTTGTGGTTATCCGGTGTCATTGGGTGAGAAAGATAGTCTAGGTTGGTAAGGAAAGGGATTAAACATTCATTCCTTCGAATTACGAGAGGACATGGGGCTTCAGTCGTTAGAAGTTTAAGTAGCGGTAGTGTTGTTTATATGGAATGGGGCTGTTAGCCTCATGACCGACTTCTTTCTTTTCAGGACTTACTACTACCTAGTAAAGTAAGCAAGATTTAGGAGTGCGCTGACCAAGAATCGAACCCGAACATCAGGTTTGGATGGATAGTATTCGACCTGCATTTTTATCCTTACCATTTGCAGGAGTACAAGAAAAGAATAACTAATGTTTAAAATCGATTAGATATAAGATAACAGTGCTTCATATTGGTAAGAAACTCAGCACGTCACCAAAAAGTATTTCTAAACAGGCTAATGTATACTTCCATCAACAGCTGCCTTCGCTAGATCCATACTGAAGATCAGATGGCCATAAAGAATTAACAACAAGGAACTCTGGGAACTGACAAATCAGGAACCTTTTGCTAAAGAAATATTCCGAAGAAAATGGAGACAGATTGAACACATACTGAAGGGACCATTGAATGATGCCACGCGCCAGGTCATCGCTTGAATGGAACCCGAATGCAAAGTGACGATATGGGAGTTTGTCCAGGATGACATTGAAGAGATTGTGCAAGGGGGAGATGGCAGACTATAGGCAGTCGTGAGGCCAGCTGAAGAGGACCGCAGAGAACAGAGTGAAATTGAGATGTGCTGTTAAAGCCCTACATTCCACTCAAAACCCAAAGGAATAACAACGGTAACAACAGTATAAATTACGATTATATTCACAATTTACTTCTAAGAATACAGGATTTTTAGGATGAACTCCTTTCCATTTGAGTGCTACATCAAAAATGTGCACACCTATAGCTCTAATTTAATCATTATCACACTCAGTAAACGACTATTGAATCCTACACCTATTCCCCTTTGTGAATTTGAATAAAGCGGATCAATAACAAAATGATAATAAGATTTGATTTTTGATTGGATACTAGTCAGTAACTAGTGTCCAATCAAAATATCCAATACAGTCCTACAGGAGGTCAATCGTGAGCCCGAACAACTCAGTAGTAAAGTCTCTGACTGTATCACTCACTGGGTAACACAGGTTGTAGTCTCAGAAGGGACATGAGTTCCTTCAAGATTTCAGATAAGCCTTGCTAACCGGTGAATGCCAACTAGTACGAAACCTAGGTCCAGCTGGGTTTCCTGTCGACTACCTCCATCCATCTAATACCAACAGGATGCAATTTATCTGAAGTGAGCAATGTATCTGCGCAACACATTTCAGACATTCTCATCATACACATACTTGTCACATATGTATCTACATTAAAAGGTAACAGAATATAAAAGGTCAAAATTAAATCGGTCAATATAGGTGAAAATGCTTACGGCTCACGGTCACAGAAAGAAAATGGGAAAATGCGATTAAAAAATATAGGGGTGAAAATATTGTTTGGTGAAATAAATCTTTGCAGTAATAGCGAAAATCAGATTACTAAATCTTGTTCAAAATGATAATTATGATGTATTCTATACAGTTTTTAACCTCAAAATATTTCATGAGTCTTTGTTCATTATTTATTCAAGTTATTTCATTTCTCTTTCCATACTGTTGGGAACTAGTGCAACTGACTAACTATGAGATGAGCTTCACAGAGGTGTAATGAGAATCCGTGACCAGTAGGATCCATCAAGTTGGTAGTAAACACAGACAGTCAGTCATCAATGGTATTGGTGTAGATGGCACTATATCACGAATTAACAGAAATTATTACTCATTAGTCAATGGATTATACCTAAACCAGTGGCTGAGTGGTCGACGGATTTATCTCATAATCTGGAAATACTGGATTAGCTGCTAGATAAGGTTGTGAATACTCGCTGTTAAAGAGCTTCAAACTAGGACAAAACAAATGTTCAGTACCGTTTGCATTTCAGTGGTTCTATAACTGGTATCGGTTTGCAGTAAAATCTACTTTGAAAGACTATAACAACTTTCTAAGTTAAATTATCGTGTAAAAAATTTTATGTCAGCTAATCTGTATATCACTATGAATATAAGCTAAAAGCAGCAACATAAATAAAACCACTGCTGTGATAGATAATTCATTACATTGATAAATGTGTTGATTATTATTTATTATTATTATTGTTTCCTTTAATTTCTAGAGCTTCAGCCGTACGTCTCCATTGCGGTCGGTTCTCTGCTAGAGTCTTCACCTAACTCCAAGTCTGCCCACATGCTTTCATCTCCTCTTCACATGACCTCCTCCAAGTCACCCTTGCAATAACGACCGACTCGCCGCTTCCCATTCGGGTTCCACTCGAGCAATGGCTTGTCTAGTGATGTCACTTGATGGATTGTTTCCTCAGAGTATGGCCAGCCAATCCATCTCCTTTTCTTCCTGCCTGCTTGTTTCACAATCGGTTCCTGGTTGGCTCGCTCATTGCCAGAGATCTCTGTTGCTGATCTTTTCTGGCCATCTGATCTTGAGTATTGAGTGAAGACAACTGTTAATGAAGGTCTGTAGTTTGTTTGAGATGCTCTTTATGACGCGCTGGCCAAGTCTCTGATCCGTATAGTAAGTAGCACTGACTGACTTCACATTGGAGTTGAAAATCCGGATCTTATTTTTCATGCTGAGCAGTGCTGTTGACCTCCACACAGACTTGAGAGTAGTGAAAGCTTGTCTTGCTTTTCCGATTCTTGCTTTGATATCCTCGTCAGTTCCGCCTGTAGTTGAAACGATGCTTCCCAGGTAGGTGAACAAGGTTGTTTCTTTCAGGTTCCTTCCATTTATGCCGATTGTTGTCTGTTGTTGTTGCTGTTGGTGGTGTTGCCCAGGAATCTTCATCACCTCTGTTTTCTCTATGTCCACCTGAAGTCCTATCTTCTCTGGATGCTTCTTCTGCCAACTTGTTGCTTTCCACTTGAATATCTTCTAGTTTGTGGGGAATTAGACATATATCATCGGCGAAATCCAGATCCTCTAAGTTTTTTGTGTGTGTCCATTTTATGCCTGTTTCCTCATTGCCCGCTGTTTGTCGCATTATCCAGTCTACTGCAATCAGGAAATTCATTGGCGATAGTAGGCAGCCAGCTTGTCTTACTCCTGTCCTCACTTCGAAGGATTCCGTAAGTTTCCCATTGTGGATTACATGGCATGCAGCATTGATATTTGATGATATTTCCTAGCATAATGATATCCAACAGGTAACATAAGTTACTAGATAAGATTTAGTGAACGTTTATATGATAAACATTAAAAAAAGTGAAACAGCTCTCTATTCATTGTTGTGTTTTCTTATTTTCATTTCTGAACTTAATTGATCGGCCTCACTTTAGTATACCGGCTTCTTGAATGGATGTCTGTAAATTAGCATGATTACTAGGTTGATGTAACTTATTCGGTGGCTGCAAACACAGGAATTCAGGATGCTCATTTTGTCCCACTTAAATCTCCTCATGTGGGTATAGCTGTCTCCAGAGAGTGATCATGTCCCTTCTAAGAATTTAAACCAACCCTCGTCGCTTCAAACGCTGAACAGTTATATCCAGTGATTTTTCTAGCCAAGAAAGCTCCCTTTTTAGGTATCAGCAGAAAACCACAAGTATAAATACATCGTTTTAAATCAAACCTATTGCGCAAGAGGTGGCTTACATGACTCAGCAGGTCAGTGGTGAATGCCTTAGTGTTCGAAGCGATGGATGCTGATTTCCAGTCCCAGTAAGAAAACTATCACATATTGGAGGGTAGTTACATTCAGCCAAAAAGTTTCCAGCGTGATAAAACTCAAGTCTTCGATTCAACTTCTAATCAACAACAAACAAATAACTTTA